CTGTAGTAAAAACAAAATATGTCCCATCAATATGCCATTCATTCACATTTCTAAAATTGCATATGTTTCCACCTGTGCGAGTGTAATTTACCAAACTATGTTATGCTAAACAAAATGTGTTTTTATCCATAGCAAAAATACGATATTGGCACCGTTTCGATTGGAATGCACCGGAAAATCTAGATTTTGTAAGTTAAGCATTTAAAACACAGAATGATATGATTAAAATAAAGTGAATGTAACGTAGCACTGATGATATCTATAGCTATTAGCAGGTTTATCTATGTGGTACAAGGAGACACATTTCTTACAAATATCATAAAGAGATAAAGAAAACGTGCAATGCTCATGGAGAAGATATATGCAGGTGTGCCGATAGTGTTTCTGAGTTTGATTTCCATATATGTATTGTCTAAACAAAATACATATACATGTCTATAAACCCATTAAGAATGTTACAAGTTTACAAATTAACAAGTTTAAGCAATACCAGATAATTAATTACGAAACAAGCAATTCCTGTTTACAGAACAAGAATAAATTCCAGCCTACCTTAGGCCGAACAGTTCGTCAGCAGAGAAAAGCATCTTATTACATAAAGTTACTCCTAGGAATACTCGAATACCATTTAAGTTGTGCAAGTTGCAGACAACAACATATTAAGTAAAGTCGTAAGATTAAGAAAATGAAACGAAACTGAAAACAAAAGCAGACCTATTCTTCTAACTCCTGGGTAGTCAGAAACAAAAAGAGTGGTTTTCGCTGATATCGAAATCTTAAGAATACTCCGGGTGTTTCTACAATCGAGATAGAAATTGATTTGACGAAATATGAAAGAGAAAGGGATAAGGAATTGAAAACGAAGCAACAGAAAACCATGAGGAGGAAGAGACTAAAAGTTGTATCTTTCGAGTTCGTGAACTGCCATGGAATCGTGACATTATTTACCTTGCAAACCATAATATTCTATTTTAATTTTCCGTTTGATGAACTATTGAAATGTTTTTTGTGTACCAATGTGATACTGTAGATTTAAGGTAGGAAATGTCAAATGAGGATCATTCCAAAAAATAAGGATCAATCTCAAATTAAGACAAGGACATAGAGGCAAATTATGCCCTCGTCCATCAAATATCTGAACTAAAGACATTGTCGACAGGTATCTGGTGTCGACAGGTATCTGGAATCCCTTTTGTAATCAGGCATTTGTAACGATTGTAACTATGTCTTTAGTGTAGAGGGAACGTTTTCCTACGTATAGACTGAGTTTGCCGAAACATCAATAAACAAATTACAACAAAACACTTCCCGACCAATGATAAAACTTTCAATATCCTTTGTGAAACGATGTTGATTTCATTACGTTCGATTGCCTTTTTGAGATTTATATTCGTGACAGGAATATGTGACAGGGGTTATAAAATGAAAAGTTATTGCCATTGAATTTCGCTATACGAAATGACAGATAATTAATGAACCAAGTATAACAGCCAGGCCTGACGTGCTAAAACCTGTTCTATCTCTTAATGCACTTCTGGTTCCATACTTGTTCCTAATGAATATGAAAGATATAAACGCACGAGTTCCAAGGTGAAAGCTGATTCACTGAGGTCTTTTTTACAACTAACACTAATGCTTTTTTTTATTCCTATTAACATCATACTCATTTTGTTTATTCATTTTGTTTGTTTGTTTGTTTGTTTGATTGTTTTATTTTTTCGATACGCTGCTTTAAATTTAAAACAATAATGAAACATTTAATAGTTTAAAAACATTAAAACAAAGCATAATATGACATATTATGTATGGTACAAGAAATCCCCGAATAACAACACATGAAGTATGCTTCATAAACGTAGGGTGGAAAGCATGTTACTATGTAGATCTCGTGCAATTGGATTCCCCTTTGTTTCTGTAGTCTAGGGTTTCAGGTGATTTCTTTTTCGTTTTAATGCCCCCATTGTTTTTGTTCATGTCATTCCATACCGATGTTGGTTCTAATTTTATCTTGTTGGTTTGCGCTGTAGTATATTCATTCTTTACTTTTTACTTTCGAAACATTTGTTATCAACGAAAAAATAAAATATGCGTGTGAATTGCTTCTACGTATTTATATAGATGTACATTCGTTCCTGTTTTAATACGTTACTTTTCTGCATTATTGTTTTCTGATTACTTTATCCTTGTAAACACGCTGTATTTCGGGGAGGAGCATTTTATAAAACGGGAAAACTTAAGGGTGACTGCTTTAAAAACATCGTATAATAAATCAGCATTTACATGTTCGATCAAGTTAGTCGATTAGTTTCTTAGTTCTCCAATCGAATATATTAGTGTAATTTTATATCTCCATCAAATGTTGCTTTGTGTCCACGGCTAAAACCTTAAAACTCGCGTCCATGCCATCATCTTTAACATCACATCCATGACACTACCCTTTTTAATCGCGTACATGACAACGTATGTAATACATACTGGGCCAACGACGCGCTAACACAATAGCATGACATTGTTTTTAAAACATAAAAAGAATCATATTTTCTGTTTCGCTGTTAAAAGATGATTTAATCATTCATGTTGCCAGAGCGTGAATGAGATATTGAGACAAGATCCAAGGCACCGATTTACTGATATGATCTGGAACTGCGGTTTTGTTAATTATATATGCCGTATCAAAGGCCCGTTATATTTTGTACTAAATATTTTATGAATGTACAAGAATTATATCTATGAAATCAGTGGCATAAATCGACAGCACGTGCTCATGAACACATACTGGTGTTATGGTTTGCTCTCCTTGACTCCAAACCATCCAAAGCGAACATTGTAGCACACGTAAGCGATGTTGTGGTAACATGAAGGTTCAATCCCTATGGTCTCTTAGTGAACACACATCTGACCACGCGACTTGGATAGCATTACAGAAACACAGGTATGTAGTCTAATCTGGTAACAATCGTATGCATTTAGTTACTTTTTTATCGCTTTTAAAAATAATATTCAGCTTTGTCTTTTGATACCTTATTATTATTTAATATTAGTATTTCTAAAATTATTTGTTCCTTATCCCACTCCCCTCTTCCATCCTTCTTCCTCAATCTGTGTCCCTGTATCTCTGTGTTTGTGTCTCTCTCTCCCTCTTTCACTGTAGGCCTAGGTCTATGTGTGCCCTATTATACCACTTCGATGTTAAATGTTCTTCCCTCGTTATTTCGGAAAACAAATGCTACGTTGTATCAATTGATTCTTTTCAATATGTGTCTTATTTATTTATCTACGTGGATTAATATTATAATTTAAGTAGTACGAAGGAAACTGTTCCTCTATGTACTTACGATAGCTATGATAGAGTACAGTGTTAATTTGTCTTGGTCTATTTAAGGAACACCATTAAACCTTAACCTCGTGTTGCGAAGTAGGTCAACTAGGGATTAGATTGTAAATTAACTCACAGTTTCAGTTATATAAAAACGTGTACAATCCGTGTTCTCGTATCCTTCTCAGAAAATCATGAAACACATGCTTGTCAGGCAAGGTGAATAATAGAATGAATTAATGAAGTTGTTAATTTTATTCAGTAAATGTACATTGTACACAACGTCATTGATTAATATCCCGAATTATAGTAAAAATAGTATTTTTCGCTCTTTGCACCAAATAGTTAAAATATATTGTATTCTGCGACCGGAAGCTTCATTTCAATTTGTCTTGTCCATACTGGAATTCAGAATTCAAATATTATGGATTTTAACATTGGGAACACATCAAAGGAAATATAGATATTTTATATCTTTCGTTTTAAAGGTCTCACTATGATCGACGATTAAGGGGATGAAAGTGCTGCTGAAGGCCGATTAACACGTACATCACAAGGTTAACAAGATTTCCTACAAGGAAGGATTAACTGTTTGCACACTGTCGATTTTGTATAGGAACAACGTGAATAGATCAGTGAATATACAGTTCTGTATTGTCATTATGACCGTGGATACCTATATAAACATAACGTTGACATGGTGGTATTACAAGTCTGCACGTGTAGAGATCATAAATGGTACTGAACATGTACGATGGCCTTGTTACACTTTAGTATATGTAGTGGTTATATAATAGTACACTAAGGCATATGTGGTTGTATTTTAAACTAAGGCATATGTGGTTGTGTTTTACACTAAGGCATATGTGCTTTGCGCTATTTCTGGTGGAGCTGCTTCAATTCAGAATTTATAGTTGTGTAGTTATTATAATACTTAGGCCTATGGGGTGGTGCATTTATACTTCGATAAATGTGGTTGTATTATCTCAATGAGGCGCTTTCGTTGTGTTTTTAAACCTCGACTTATGTAATTGTGTTTATATAAATGCGCTATTTGCGATGTTTTATAAACCTTGTGATGGGTCATGACACTCGTAGGTATGGTTCGATATCCGCTGACCCTGAGTTACTTACCACGTTACAAAGTTCTGTGGTCAATATGTCTCATCAAAAGTTTTTATCTTGGTCAAGACCAGCAACAAGTTGATTTCATATAGCAAAATATGAGTACTAACATCGCTGGTTGATGAAGCATTAACAGTTAAACTAGGGTTCTAATGATACCCTAGGCAGTAATAACGTGGACGACAAAACGTAATAAATTCACCTAATCCACCTAGATGTGATTCTCCTTTATAAAAATCCTCCTTTGCTTATCTAATACAGGTAAATTCGGTTAGGTAGCACATAGTACGAACATACCAAGAAGGTATGCTACTTTCAATATTAATCGCTATCGTGGTGTTAGAGTATGTTAGTGTGCTCCGTAGCTTTATCCTCCTTTTTTGTGATTAATCTGGCAGAGAATTATCTAGGGACCCCTATATCACTACAGCTAGTTGTATGTTAATAGATCATTGGCGTGTTGTCTTACATGTGGAACGATGGATTCGTTACAGTGAAGTGGCTAGTGTCTGGATGTGCTATAATGCTGCTTTCTGATTAAAATTGTTTTCTTTTACAGACAAACCATCATGTAATTATACCGTGTGGTAGCCACTAATCCGATGCGTGCAGTACCCTCAGTGTTACGATAGGATGCCACTTTGTTAACAGTCTGCTACTTACGAGATTGACTTACGGACCACTTCCGGTTCCGACAAACCGCGACTGATATGTACGGGTTACTTCTAGAGGCCATTGTCGATTACATCATTGATAATTATGGCGAAGAAAATTGGGAATACATACGTAGGGCCGCCAACTTGCAGACTACGACCTTCGCCACTCATGGAATATACAGCGAAAATATTGTGATGGCTATAGCCACTGCTACGGCCGAATTGACAGGGGAGGACGTTGACGACCTGATGGATTCGTTTGGAGTTAGCTTTGTGAGTTTTGTCGGTCAATACGGTTACGATAAGGTCCTGAAGGTGTTAGGTCGCAATATGAGAGATTTTCTCAGTGGACTCGATAACTTACATGAGTACCTCCGTTTCAGTTATCCGAAGTTGCAACCGCCTTCGTTTTTCGTCGACAATGAAACACAGTCTGGACTTACATTACACTATAGAAGTAGGAGAAAGGGATTTGTCAAATATGTCCAAGGTCAGATCCGGCAGGTGGGCCGTCTCTTCTACAATACTAAAATCACCATCAATGTGACAAGTGAAACAACTCTTGGCGATCTCGTGCACGTGGTCATGCGGCTTTCCTTTGATAACACAGCATACATCAAGTTATTCAGAAGTATCGACCATATAACGGAGTCACTACCCTTGCGGTCTGACGTTTTCTTCGAATTATTTCCATTCCATATTGTTTTTAACCGACAGCTAAAGATCAAAAGTATAGGAGTGAGTCTAATGGCGGTCATGCCCTACATTAAAGGAAAGTCCCTTCAGGAAATCTTCAGCCTAATACGTCCATTGGTTGAGTTGACATGGGAAAGCGTAAGTACAACCATAGGGTTAAGACATAGCATTATGATAATTTGCATGGTGTCCCGGGAGCGGTGTCATATGATATGTTTAAGGGGTTAAGAACATTACCTAATGCCATGAGGTATATTAACAATCTGTCTTTACCAACCACTTGTATATATCAAGTGAAATTGTTATGGAGATCATGTTATTATATACCACCTGTGTTAACATTATAAACCATCTCTCTATAACTACAGTTAAACCTGCCTTAGAGACCAAGTGTCTATTACTACAATCAAATATGCCTTAGACACCACATCTCTACAACTACAGTCAAATCTGCCTTACAGACCAGCTGTCTATAACTACAGTCAAACCTGCCTTAAAGACCAGCTGTCTATAACAACAATCACACCGTCTTAAGACACCACATCTCTACAACTACATTTGTACGGTCAAACCTGCCTTAGAGACCAACTGTCTATAACAACAGTCAAACCTTCCTAAGACACCACCTCTCTATAACTACAGTCAAACCTGTCTTAAAGACCAGCTGTCTATAACTATAATAAAACCTGCCTTACAGATCAGCTGTCTATAACAACAATCAAACCTTCCTAAGACACCACACCTCTGCAACTACATTTGTACGGTCAAACCTGCCTTAGAGACCAACAGTCTATAACTACAGTCAAACCTGCCCTAGAGACCACCTCTCTATAACTACAGTCAAACCTTCCTAAGACACCACCTCTCTATAACTACAGTCAAACCTGCCTTAGAGACCAACAGTCTATAACTACAGTCAAACCTTCCTAAGACACCACCTCTCTATAACTACAGTCAAACCTTCCTAAGACACCAACTCTCTATAACTTCAGTCAAACCTTCCTAAGACACCACCTCTCTATAACTACAGTCAAACCTGCCTTAGAGACCAACTGTCTATAACTAAAATCAAACCTGCCTTAGGAACCAATGTTCTATAAGTACAATCAAACCTGTCTTAGAGACCACCTGTCTATAACTACGCTGTAGAATTAAACAAGCTTTAAAGACCAGGTATCTTTTCTTACAATCAAACCTTTATTTGAGACCACATCACAATGTAATAGTCGAACTTGACTGATAGACCACCTTTAAATAGCTACTACTTGCGTAAATAGTACAGTATACACTATCATAACGGTAATCAAACCTGTATTTGATATGATCTGTACAGTGTAGCTGCCACTACCGCCTATCTAAAACTTTTTGAAACTGTTTAGAGATAATCATTACTTGATATTAACCAGAGACCACCTGTTCATAGTTCAACGACAGCTTCCACCTGTGAAGAGTTAGTTAAGTTCGTTTTGGGAGACCGAATTCCTATAACTCCAACCAGAATATAGCTTTCTGCAGGTTATAACTTCTGCCGGTATAAAGCTACCGCAGGTCAATATGTTTTATCAACATTTAGCTGTAGCTCTCGCCAGTCTATAAGAAGTAGAATATGTTGTAGGTACCACCTCTCTATAACTACCTATTATTCGTTAAACATAACTGAAAGACCACCTATCTCTTGACAAATGGACATATATATTTTTACTTAATTAATATATCTATGGATTATTTGTTTACAGATCATGGCCACCACAAACAATGTATTTGAGATAGCGTCAGAGGGTTGTACATTAAGGCGGACTGATGAGAAATCCAAAATCACACCCAAAGGCATCAAAGGTATGATGAAGTTTAATCAAAGGTTTACCGCAAAATCTTGATCATATATTAATTAGTAATGAGAGGTTTAGCCAACAATCTTAATAAGACACCAAACAGTAATCAAAGGTTTACTGAACAATCTTTATAAGGTACCAAACAGTAATCAAAGATTTACCGAACAATCTTTATAAGGTATCAAACAAAAATTTAAGGTTTACCGAACAATCTTTGTAAGGTACCAAACAGTAATCAAAGGTTTACCGAACAATCTTTATCAGACACCAAACAGTAATCAACGGTTTACTGAACAATCTTTATAAGGTACCAAACAGTAATTAAAGGTTTACCGAACAAACTTTATCCGACACCAAACAGTAATCAAAGGTTTACCGAACAATCTTTATAAGGTATCAAACAGTAATTTAAGGTTTACCGAACAATCTTTGTAAGGTATCAAACAGTAATCAAAGGTTTACCGAACAATCTTTATAAGGTACCAAACAGTAATCAAAGGTTTACCGAACAATCTTAATAAGACACCAAACAGTAATCAACGGTTTACTGAACAATGTTTATAAGGTACCAAACAATAATTAAAGGTTTACCAAACAAACTTTATCAGACACCAAACAGTAATTAAAGGTTTACTGAACCATCTTTATAAGGTACCAAACAGTAATTAAAGATTACCGAACAAACTTTATCAGACACCAAACAGTAATCAAAGGTTTGTCGAACAATCTTTATAAGGTATCAAACAGTAATTTAAGGTTTACCGAACAATCTTTGTAAGGTATCAAACAGTAATCAAAGGTTTACCGAACAATCTTTATAAGGTACCAAACAGTAATCAAAGGTTTACCGAACAATCTTTATCAGACACCAAACAGTAATCAACGGTTTACTGAACAATGTTTATAAGGTACCAAACAATAATTAAAGGTTTACCGAACAAACTTTATCAGACACCAAACAGTAGTCAACGGTTTACTGAACAATGTTAATAAGGTACCAAACAATAATTAAAGGTTTACCGAACAATCTTTATCAGGCACCAAACAGTAATTAAAGGTTTACTGAACAATCTTTATAAGGTACCAAACAGTAATTAAAGATTTACCGAACAATCTTTATCAGACACCAAACAGTAATTAAAGGTTTACTGAACAATCTTTATAAGGTACCAAACAGTACTTAAAGATTTACCGAACAATCTTTATCAAACACCAAACAGTAATTAAAGGTTTACCGAACAATCTGTATAAGAGACCAAACAGTTATTAAAGATTTACCGAACAGTTAATAATTTTGTAACGTAAAAGCAATGCAGCAGCTACAAAGAAATTAAAAAACGCTACAGCTGTATCTTATTTGATATTACAACTGCTGTATATAATTAAATATTGCAATAGCTGTTTGTAATTAAACATGACAATATTTGTTTATAGATAAATAATACAACAGTTGTATATAATTAATCATTACAGTAGTTGTATATACACGTACTTAAACATTACAACGGCTGTATATGATTACACAATACCAAAGCTGTATATAATTAAATATTGCAATACTTAAACATTACAACGGCTGTATATAATTACACAATACCCAAGCTGTATATAATTAAATATAGCAATACTTAAACATAACAATGGCTGTATATAATTACACAATACCCAAGCTGTATATAATTAGCTATTGCAATACTTAAACATAACAACGGCTGTATATGATTACACAATACCAAAGCTGTATATAATTAAATATTGCAATACTTAAACATTACAACGGCTGTATATGATTTCACAATACCAAAGCTGTATATCATGAAATAATACAACAGTTGTATATACACGTACTTAAACATTACAACGGCTTATATAATTACACAATACCAAAGCTGTATATAATTAAATGTTACAACAGTTTGATATAATTTAACATAACATTTGCTCTATATTATTAAATAGTGCGATATCTGTTTGTAATTAAACATTTCAACTAGCAATAATTAAACGGTTCAACAGCTGTATAAAATGAAAGATTACTGTAGATCTTGAAAGTTAAACAGCAAAAGTTATAAAATTAAACATTCAAGCAGTTTTCATTTTAGCTAGTCGAATAGAAGAAGTGTTTTAACTAATTCTTAAATCTCATATTAGATGAAAAAAACACCACATTTTTAGTTTTTTGCATTCAGCCCTGTAGGCATATTACGAAATGTGTGGCAGATAAAGAGCAGAGGCAGTGAAACAGACATGCTCCACAGTAAGACATTTAACATTGAGAGAAATGCGATATGCTAAGACTAACCATTTGGCTTCGGTCAGCAACGATTTCTAGATTGTTTCACTGCGTTTGAACCTCAATGGGCTGGTAGGCACGGGTGTTTTCCCCCGCGTTGGAGACAAATGTGCATCGAACCTCTTACCAAATTTCAGGATAACCATTGGTGAATTTAACGCACGACGGACATAATTGTCGAATAATGTAAAGAACAGTTAAATACATAATTTCACACTTTTGACATTTAGAAATTGACCAAAATCAGTAATTTTACTATGTTTTTAACTTAACACACAGAGCAAGAGGCTGAACACACTCTGCACCTGAAGGGACAGATGGTTTTCATGCCGGAGTGGGACTGTATTATATTCATGGGCACGCCAGTGTAAGTAAACTTCACCGCTTCCTGTTTACATCAGTGTAGGCTAACGTCACCGTTTTATGGGTCCATAATTGTAGGTAAACGTCATCGCTTCATGGGTACACTAGTACAGTGTAATTAAATGTGACTACTCTATCAGAATATCTGTTTGTTAAACATCAACTAAACATAATAGGTGCATGGTACATGTAGCACTAGTGTGTGTACATGGTGTTGCATATAATACGTATTATCGTACACGTTTGTAGCATAAAAGAACGTTTCGCGAACACGCAATCATAGGGACGAACTCTCCACATCGTTAGCACACACACGAACAGAACATACTTCAACGTCAACACACAAAGACATAATGTATAACAGCGTAAAACAAAACAAAACAATATACCACAGCGTCATACAAAAGGGAAGTTATTAGTGTTCGGCACAAGTTGTTGGACCCTATTAGAGACATTGCTCTTGAAGACGTCATGGACCGCCATATTCCGTCTTTGCGTATTGCAGAGTTATCTTCTCTTGAGAGCAGGAATTGATTTTTACGTCATTGGTTCGTGTGAGAAAATTACGTCGTTTTCTCAAAAATTGATGACGTTACTCTCACAAACAAATGACGTAACAATCAATACCTGCTCTAAAGAGAAGATAACTCTGCAATACGCAAAGACGGAATACTACACTATCCACAGTACTTCTTTTTCTACCTGCGAAAAGTCACCATCGATCTGAAACACGGTCAACGAGTCTTTAACTGCTACTTTACACAGCTATACGGTATGCCTGCTACCATTGCTTGTCATCTGTTTTGATGAGCAAAACACTCCATCCAAAGATTATAGAATGCATGTATAAAATTTAATACTAGGCAGTTCGTGTTTTTTCATACAAATTATTCATTAATCAGAAATATTGAGGAAAATATAGATTAATCTTGTTTTAGGCCATTTCATATACCGTCCATGTCTAACTATACCGTTACTGGATCAAAAGCGATATATATTGGATGTTATTTCCTGCGGTTGTGTGACTCTGACAGACGACGGACACGCGACTGGGCAGTGTAATAGCTAAGCTAATATAAGCACTACTTATATCATCGTAGAAAACCGGAAATGGCTTTTAAAGTTGACGCTAATTTTCTTTTAGATTATTGTTTTAAATGGGTTTGTCTGTTTTAGTAGTATGATAAGATTGTAGGTTCTAGAGGATTATCTGGTGTAAATTGTTGCTGTAGTATAATGGCTTGATATTTGTTCTCTGTCTACTGCCCAGAAAGTCTGTGTCATCTTGCGGAAGATTAAGCTCAATTCCAAGTCAATAAGATCGTTCAGGTCAACCAGTTCCTTAGTTGTTTGCTGGAAAGTGTAATTATTTGTTCTTGAGAAATATTGTTCCAAAACCCTGTTCCTACCATGTCAGGAATAAATATGTCCTGCTGTGTTGTACCTGTAATGTACTATTTAGCCGTCTGAGATGTCCCGTACTATATAACAGTCGACACATCACACCAATTTCACTTCAATGGTTACATGAGCGATAAGGCTTGAGGATAATGGTTTTGAATAAATGACAATAAATGAACAGCTCCTCGATCATTATAGACGTTTGTCATCCGTATCAACCGTCACGATCATTGCGATCGGCGACCGAAGCTTCAGTACATTTATGGGTAGAATATCCATCACTGTGACCATTAACAACCGAAGTTTGAATGACGTAGCAGTCACATTTGGGAATAGTTTAACATCGCATAAGAGATAGACAAAACGTCTTGCCATGTTAAATTAGTCACTAGTTTAGGGTTGTATTTCAGACTGGTAGCTCGGTCATTTTAATTCGAGTATGTACGTTCATAGTGATGAAGGCGGAAGGTGGAAGTCTATCATGTTCCTTAAACTGTCTTCTTAATACCTTTTCCCCATTACACAAAGAACAGGGAGATGAGCGAGAATTCTATAGTGTATATTAATATGCCTTATATTCCGTCTTTGCGTATTGCAGAGGTATCTGCTCTTGGGAGCAGGTATTGATTGTTACGTCGCTTGTTTGTGAGAGTAACGTCATCAATTTTTGAGAAAACGACGTAATTTTCTCACACAAACCAATGACGTAACAATCAATACCTGCTCCCAAGAGAAGATAACTCTGCAATACGCAAAGACGGAATATTTTCGTGTGCATGTTAATCGGTGTCGACTCAACTTATTTGCACAATACAATATTTTCGAATTTCTATCAACACACCGATGCAACATGTACAGTTTTTTTTGTGAACATATATTACTCTGGTCTTGTTCGTCATACTTTTAGAATCAAATCATATTAAGTTTAGCAAAGGAAATATGTCATTATTCCTGCAAAAACTACCAGTGCGATTATTTTGTATACATCGTGTTCAAAAGATCATGGACAATTTAATTATCAAAAATGATAAAGCCAGTTGAGTATAAGAACGTAAATAATTCGTAATTGTTAACATGAATTATGTTGTGCAACGCAGTTGATTAAAAACAAATTCTTACAGATGCGTGATAGTTCCTCGAGCTATCAAATAATTGTACCAGTTTGAAATAAAATGAATGGTGTAACAGAGCCTGCAATAATTTAGGAAAGCTTTTACATCGAGATTCTAACGATCAGGTACCTTGGTGGCATTATTTATTATTAGTAATTACCTATTTCAATTATAGGATGGAGAACCTCGAGGCGATGGATAGGGCAGGTCTCTATATCAACGACTTGAGTATGCACGATTCCAGTCGTGATCTTGTGCTGGCGGGGACTCAGCAGTCTGCAGAGCTCAAGCTTGCACTGGACCAGGTATGCACTTCCGGTCTGGTACAAATGTTGTGAAGCAATGTAATATAATTATATAAAGCCTGTTGAATATAATCATATAATCACAGACGCACGAACAGATAAACATTAGATGATATAAATTTGTTTTGGTGTACTTCATCTCTTTTGTTTATTTACTTTCGAACTCGGTTAAATTTGCTATGGTATCTTATATGTAGGAGCAACAAAAGAGTAAGACCCTAGAGGAAAGCATGCGTAAACTGGACGAGGAGATGAAAAGGACGGATTTACTCCTCTACCAGATGATACCTAAACCAGTGGCTGACCGACTCCGAAGTGGCGAGGAATCTATTAGCACGTGCGAGGTAAGTGCGTGCATTAGATGGCAAAGTATTATTTCAGGCCTTCATGTCGCATGTAATTCGGTTTACGGATTTCCGAGGCTTGTCTCCTAATGATACGACATACTTATTGCAATACACTGGATTTGCTTACTTACTTACCAATTTACTTAGGACGGTATAATATATGATGTTTATAGTGGTCGATATGCAATGAGTGACATATTGTTTTTGTCGCCAAATTTGTATTTATGTCTTTAATATCTTAAATATTTCCTTTTGTTTCTTAAAAACAATGTGTACATTTCCTTATCTTTTTCACTAATAGCTTTATATAGGTACATCTAGTGTTCACATACTCGTGACTGCCTCCTTGTGAAACCTGGTGTTAATATGTTTGTAAACTAATATATCACGTCATAGGTATTCGACTGTCTGACGATTGTGTTCAGCGACGTTGTTGGCTTTACCGCCATCTGTAGCCAGATTTCCCCGATGGACGTTGTTTCTATGCTGAACGCTATGTACACCAAGTTTGATAACCTCAGCGAGCTGCATCATGTATACAAGGTAACTCATCAAACAATCAATTATTCACTCGCTTTGCGACGTTGCCAATATAGAACATTTAGATGGGAAAACCTCGAAACGGTAGTCCGAATCTCAACGTCTACACGTTAACAATCAAGTGGTGGGGTGACAAAGTGGATAACACACCCGCATTTCACCGAGGCGGCCGAGGATCGATTCCAAAATCGGTGGTGAAAAAGTATAGGGTTACCTTCTCGACCACGTGGCTTTTCTTCGGGTACTCCCGTTTCCTTACACATGAAGACCACCTAGCGCTAACTCCAGACCAACAGGAGTGATTAATATAAGTTTAAATAAACTTTTCCATACTTTTGTTGAAGGGAAAACGTGAAAAAAAGTGCCATTTCCAACATCTACCGGATACTATACCAAACTTACACGGTGAACGTCGATACCATTTCATCTGGCGGGGTTCAACTCGTCTAATGCCAACATTTCTGTAGATAAATGTATGTACATTGTAAATAGGAAACCATCATATCTACCGTGTGAAACCGTTTTTTGTGGAAAATATAAAATCCCTGTTGCGTAGAAGGAATCGGTAGTTCCGAAGCAACATTTTGGTCAATAAAACATTATCATTATTAATTTCGATAATACTTTGAATGTTTCAGAAGATTCCTATAGCGGGCATGTCAATCGACAGTAGTTTAATCATATCTGCTAAACGTCGTGTGGGGGCTGATATCGTATTACTACGTAAAATGTATAGATACTGGGAAATCACTTAGAACAGTTCACAGAACTCTCACAAAAGTTTCAGTCTAGAATATTATCGGACACCGTGTCGTTTTACTACAAACCAACGTATATTGATATATGTTGATCGGTAAGACAATTAACAGATCTGAATCTACCCCAGGGAAGTTGGGCAACACTTCCATCCTTTGTACGTCCAATGGACGCCCAGCGGATACACTAGTGTAAATCAGCCATGTCTATAGAGACCAAAACTCCAAAACAAAGACGTCATTTTCGGTCATTAACACTACATAAGGAATAACAGGTCGAGACAATACGACCCGTTTCCCGATGTGTTAACGGCGAGCGTGATGTTGGGCCTTTCCTCTTAGGCAGCTATTAGAATAGCAAATTCATAGGAATACATGATTAAAACCTCTAAGCTTATTAATTCGTTTTCTTGTGTAAAATGCCATCGATTTATGAAATGTGACTGCTTTGCACGCGATATACTCGTTACAACAATAAATGGCAACAACCCACCAGCTAATAGACATGCGCAGTAGGGTATATGTCAGTCTAGGTTAGCATGACGCTTCTTATCGATGGAAACATTCTCGCTGCTTTCTGTCCCGATCGTGTCCCCCTGCTAGCTTTGCCGTTTATTGTGGTTATCGCATGATGTCTCTAAACAATCGTCACAGCTTTAACCGACACAAGGGAATGGGGTCTCCATTAAGATGTGCTATTCGAGTGTCGATATGCAGACCAACTGTAAACATCAGCCTAGGGTTTTCTCTTGCAAATATTGATAATAGAAGGTATCGATAATTTAAATTGTAGTAATGCATTTTGTTTGCGTATTTTATGGTTTGTTTGTATATTTGGATACTCATTCCCTCTTCCCTGTATACATACACATGTACATGCATTTTGCGATCGACACATTCAGGACAACACTCTATATTTAGAGTAAAAAGTAGTAAACATATCTTCCTACAGTTACATTTAGTGCTGATGAAGGATATGTATAAACTTATATCCGGACGCTCTTCCAACAGTAGGGGTCAGAGTAGTATATTTATATTTGGACAATCTGCAAACAGTAAGGGATATGTATATTCATACCAAAACCCGGACACCTCTCCAAAGATATATATAAACGGTTGTAGAACACTTAAATAATTAAAATGTAAATATGAATAACCATATTAACAACTATCTTTAGCAAATTCTTTATTTCATAAATTTCATTACATGTATATATGATTGCCGTTCATGTCGAACTCGTGGTAATATAGCATGTTACTTGGGGGGGGGNAACATCAGAACGTCAGCCATAGGGAAATCCCTAAAAATTAACTTTAACATAGCTAGCTTCAATCTTTGACACCGATTGTCTTTGTTTGACCTTGATGTTCAGTCGTTAGTTGACCTTTATTTAAAATATCTCATACATCAATGTATATCCAAACACTCTAAAACAATATTTTGACATTTGTGTAGGTGGAAACCATTGGAGATGCCTATATGGGGGTAGCAGGTGCTCCGGACGTAACGGAATATCACGCTGCCAGCGTTTGTAACATGGCGCTGGACATGCTCGTGACGATGGAAGATCTCGTCAACCCCATTTCCGGCGAAAGTATGAAAATCAGAGTTGGTAAGTGCAACAGGTATCTGTGATACTTTATAACTCCAATATAAACGGCTGCGTAAATAAATAAAGGTTGTTGGTGAAAATATGAAGTAATCTCCAAAACAACTGCATGTGGCACGGTAACTACATGTTAGTAAGACATGGTGTAGCGACCGCCCATTAAAAGGTACCGTCTCGTCACGAGACCACACCTAATGTAACCAATGAACGACTTTCCCAAAGGTAGTCTCTTAATACATACAGCCTCGCGCTAACGTTCTAGGCATGCAAGTTTTCTCAGGCTTTAGCAAACAATGTGTGAAACTTGCAAATTAATTACTCTTCATTGTTAGCAATTCTCATTTTTCCTTTCACGTGCCTTAAAATAACTGGTATCTAAAAAAAAAAAATGTATGATCTCGTATTACAAATAATTTCATCTTGTTATATTTTCTTAGAATACTCCCAATATGTATCCAATATATCGTCGATGTGATATGTTGGTGACATCTAAAATAGATCACGTCAGTTGTCAGATGTCAATGATTGATGTAGACAACATGAGTTACAGAGTTTAATTTTTGTCTCAAAATTCAGTTTCTTAATTTCATTATAATAAGGCCCCGGCATTAATTCCTGGTTTATTGTTCTTGTACTTCCGCTTGCTCAAAAATGAATTATTTACTTTACCTTTTTGAAACATTTTCACATCGAAAATAGCTTAGATAAATCAAGCATATTGTGACAACTACTTGTCTGGAATAGACACTACTTTTCTGGGGGTTTTCTTCATGTGTGTAAGTTGTTCAAATTCATATCACGTCAGGTGTTGACTGATAGTCTGTGGTATCTCCAGATGATCCTGTAGATAAGGCAGTTTTGAATAGGGACCTGGAAGCTTTAAATAGGTGGGTTAACACTTGGCTTGTTACTTTCAATCAAAATAAGACGGAAGTTATTTTCATATCAAATTCAAATGATATAGATGAAGATCTTGAACTGATTTTTTATAGAAATATTTTGAATTTTAACAGTATGCATACAAAATGGTCAGATCATGTAAGTGCAATCTATAAATCGGTAATGAAAAAAAAAAATTGCGAAAACTCAAATAAATGTTGAAGCGGGATACTCTCTTAAGAATTTACAAAACTGATATATTACCAGTCTTAGAATATGCATGTGAGGTTTGGAATGGTTGTACTCTGGTCGATTCTGAAAAGTTAGAGAGGGCTCAACGTGAAGTAGCTAGAATAATTACAGGTTTACCGTCATATGCTAGAAATGAATCATTATATACAGAAACTAGTCTTGAATTATTTTCGGATAAAAGAAGAAGACGAAAATTTCAATTTATCTACAAAATGGATAGGCATCAAACCCCAAACTACCTAACAAATCTACTTCCCACTAAGGTAGGAGAAAACCGCCTTGCTCTTAGAAATAATGATAACTACAAAATTACCAATTTTAGACTCTCTACTACTAGTTTATCTTTCTTGCCTTCTTCATTAAAAATGTGGAATACTCTAGACTATAATATTAGATCCATGTCTTTTTCATATTTGAAATCAGCTCTAGTCCCCAACATACCATATACATTACATTACCTACGTGATGACAGAAAACTAAACATTCTTCATACCAGACTAAGACTCGAATGCAGTCCTCTCAAACATGATCTTTACCGTGCAAACTTGGTCCAACACTCCAATTGTATAAATTGTGGCTACCATTGCGAAAATGCCCATCACTTCTTCTTTGAATGTCAACATTACACAAATGCTCGTACTGTACTTTTTGATCATATAAATCATTTAAATGTACAGTTAACGTTGAGATTATTACTGTTTGGAAATGAAAATCTGGCCTTGGATACAAATTGTGATGTATTCAGACAAGTGCAAACTTTTGTTAGATCCAGTGGAAGATTTTAACATGTTTCGATTATGAACCTGACTTTAAGATATGGTTTTGTTTTTGTTTGTTTGTATGTGTATGTGTTACTTTAAAAATCGCTTCACACTACTATGAATTGTAACTGACAGTCTATATCATCATCTATTGGTTTGAATTATTGCTGTAAGGAGATGGCTTCATAAGTTGTATTCTACCACGTCTGTGATGTAACGACGGTTTTCATTGGTTAAAAAGAGTGCATTATTGAGCGATATACCATGCGCGTGCCAATAACCGATGCCAATAACCAATGCACGCGAAATAGTGCGCACGCATGCTGTTCCAACAACCTACCCGTATTTTAACAAAAATAGCATAACTGTCAGGCGGGATCAAAATATTTGACAGGCCTGCCATTCAAAAGATTGCACGGATCAATAGACCTAAAAGTATGTGGGTCCGTGCAGTGAAAATGGTTTATTAATTATTGACATTTAAAATTTACAGGTCTGAAGACAAAATGGTAAATTATCAATTACTTCTGTTTTTACTTCACTGGGTAGTGCCGTACATTTCACGATGTGTCCAGTGTGTGTATGTACTGTCAAGCGTTGATTTCATGTTTTGACGAACGATGTCGATAGCGTGCCAATGTTTGATTGATTGAAATAAACATCGTATCTGACGTCACACGTGTTCAATTGTTTCTGGTCTGCAAAACGTCGTCTGCTTTCAAAACATCAAAGTGATGTCGAGCATTCGCCTACAGTGTACATACCGTGTGTGAAGAATAATGTTGCAAAAAGTAGCATCGGTCTGAACAGTGGTTGCAAAACACAGCTGTCCGGTGAAGTCGGTGAAGGTGAAGGTCGCATCATGATCAGCCGGTCAGCGACTTTCCATCACGTCATGGCAATCAACTAAATATGCAAACTCATGTCAGGCCTATCGTATGATGTTGTATCATTGGCACTTCCAAGAAAATCCGCTTGATATCCGTACGATGATGATGGTTTTAGAAGTAAACGCAATCCGGGAATCCAAACCCTACGCACTGAGAAATGTTGGCACAACATTGATCAAGTTAAAACGAGGCAACACGATAGCGTGATAAATCTTGCACGCGCAAAAGAACAGCGTCTAATTTACATATCGAATTATCTAGGTCATGTCGCCTTATAAGACAGTAAAACTTTACAATTAGTTACATATTTCTTAAATAACTTGTGCCAAATCCTATTTTCCAATTCTGTTTAATAAAATATGTTTAAAGTCATAGGTTTCAGCGATCTATGCGGTGAAGCCTTATATTACTGATAACTCAGTTTTCAGAGTTTTTCACTGAAATATATTTCGATATTACGAATATGTTTTCCCTGACATTCCAAAAGTTGAGTACTTCCGACAAGGCCTAGTTTCGACATGCCTTGTTATTACCCAGACAGCAGATGAAATAGAACTTCTATTCTTACCAAACAGAAACGCCATTAGATGCCCATCTAAAGTAGGTCAAACATTAATAAAATTCCTGTAGTTTGAGCGGACAGAAATATACGAAAACCATTTCCCTTTATGTGGTGAGTTTATCCTCGTAGAAATTCAAATTTAAGATTGCGTTATGAACTTAGAAATTAAAATTCAAAGAAATATATGAATATAAACATAAAACAGCATTCTGTTCCGTGTTTATGTCCCATAACACGGTACAGGAATGCACACAAATGATCATATACGCTATACATTTTGTCTGCACTACTGTCCCGTGTTATAGGACCATAACACGGAACAGAATGCAGTTTTTTCTATTAGACTATAGCGTCTCTGGTTTAGTACACAGGGACCTGATAATTTGTTACAGCTATATTAGGACCTAAACTAAGGTGTTCAGAGTAATGTTACATCTTTAAGGGGTTTAGATTGACTTTCGGTAAAAATGACACCCCCAATGATCATATATATAAGGGAGGACAGCTCTCGATGTCGAAATGTCGACCACACATAACTTTCTTGCATCAAAAACAACATGTCTAGTTGATCAACGGGAAAATGCTCAGTACCGTTGGAAAGATGGATATTTTTCCATTGAAAAACTCATATATGCACAAAAAATGTATTATTCTTCCGCGGACATGAACTCCGTTTCCTCCACAAACACACTTCAAATTTTTTCGCAGTTAGCCTGTCACTTTTTTAATGTTAATGAGGTTTATTGACACCTTAGCTTAGGTCCAAATATATCTGTAACAAATTCTCATGTCCCTGTGGTTTAGTACAGTGCCTGGTGATGAGGTGTGTCCTTGACATTACAGGTGTCCACAGCGGGATGGCGGTGGCGGGAGTTGTAGGAGTGAAGATGCCTCGGTATTGTTTGTTCGGAGATACCGTCAACACTGCCTCTAGAATGGAGACTAATAGTGAGGTAAATATGCACTGGACCGTAGTGGCACCAATCAGTCTATATTGATTCTGCTGTAGCTCCCTCTTTCTAAGGTAAATGCCTAGGGTTCGGAGGTCCTACAGTCAAATACCAGAATTGTGTAGCATTGTTCTATTTCGGTGACTGTTATATTCACGTCTAAGTAGGTGTTCCAAACTGGAAAGTTTACGACAAAAGACCTTCCTAAACAGGAGCAAACATTAAGCCAGATGATTTTTCAATCCAAAGCTTGGCATTGCCTCATCTGCATCAATCCCTCACATGTCTATAAAGGATTGGGTATTGTGTGCGCTCTAATTGTAAAGGCGTTCGTGAATAACTTATTAAAATGGGCGTTCATTTAGGTGGGAAAATGCATACTTTTTCAAGTTCAAAATGTATGTCTGTCGTTTTTGGTCATTAAAGATGGCGTGAGCTTGTCATATGAGTTTATGTAAGATAGAAGGGACAAATGTAATCACATTTCACACATTAAACAGGCGAAGAGACTAAACACCCACATCATATTTTGTAGTCATATATTATACATGTAGCTGACAAGGGCGTTTTTATTCAATCTAGTGGGATTATTTTTAGCTCACCATGGTCCTTCGGCAACTGCAGCGACCGTAGTCCGTCGTCCGTCCGTTCGTCAACCTTTCCTTTTAAACGCTACTACCTGTAGTCCTGTACGGCACAGTAGATTTTGACTATATTTGCTCTGGAGCGTCCTTAGGCCACGAGACCTAATTATGTATAAACGGAAGAGAAGAAGAATTTTAAAGGTTTTACCTCTTTTTCCCCTATTGGGACCCGCCCCCTCTGCCTCTAGGGGACCACGCTCCTTAGAGGCAGAGGGGAGGTAAACCCTTTAAAATCCCTTTTGAGGCAGAGCGGAGGTAAACCCTTTAAAATCCTTCTTTTTACCATAGGGATTACGAGATTTTATCCAATTTTTGTCTCCATTAAAATTATTATTCTCTTCTTCTGTAGGAATGAACGGATTTTGTCCAAATTTAGTATGAAGCATCCTTAGGGAGAGAGGAACAAATTTTGTATAAACGGTGGGGCGGGGGCCAAATAGGGGAAATAGAGGTAAACCTTTAAAACCCTTCTTCTACGATAAGGATTAAGGGCTTTCATCCCTATTTGGTCTGACGCATCCTTAGGTTACTCTTTTTGTTTAAACGGTGGGTGAGGCCCCTCTAGGGGCAGAGGAGAGGGGCCTAATAGGGGAAATAGAGGTAAAATCTTTCTACCGTAGGGATAAGGTGATTTTATCCTAATTTAGTCTGAAGTATCCTTGGGCAATAGAACTCAGTTTTGTATAAACGGTGGGTGTGGCCCTCTGTGGGTCAGATGGGTGGGTCCGAATATGGGAAATAGTCTTCTACCATACGGATCAAGGTATTTATTCCTAATTTGATCTGGACCATCCTTATGCCAAGGGGACTCAATTTTGTAAAACAAACGGTTGGTGTGGCACCCAGGGAACAGGGGCGGGTCCCAATAGGGGAAATAGAGGTAAAACCTCTTTTTACCATAGGGATTACGAGATTTTATCCCATTTTTGTCTCCATCAACTTTTCTAGTAGTGTCTGTTACTATTAGGGCGTATTCATTAAAATAAGATGGCCACAAAGCCGCCATTTTGGATTTATACTTTTGAAGTTTGTTCTCGCTATATCTCCAGAAATACTGGATCATACAGTACCTTCCATGGAGTGTTATATCTTAGCTCATATCAAGTACTTTTTTGGTTTATGACCGGTAAATCTTGTCGAACATTTGAACCACTGTGTTCATGGGTGTTAAAACTGTTAGCCTTTTACTGCAGGCAGCCTGTAGGCATTTTCAATTCCTGATATCCTTAATCAAACGTAATTTCCTTGAACATTTTATTACTGAAGATGCGTTATAACGTTGCTTTTGTCGTCATGTCCGATAGTTTGGTATATTGCAATGTTCTTGCTATAACGAGGGGGCCACTGAAGAGGCGAAGATTGTCTATCTCTATGCAATATTTACCTTTCCGACTCCATTTCTACAAACGTTTCATTTCCGGTGTAGCAAGTGTTTACATTATTGTAGCTCATTTAGTTTCTGAAATTAGACCTTGTTGTGTTGCTGTAAGGTTAAGACTTTATCAAATACAAAGATATCTTATCACATGATATGACCCGGGTTTTAACCAGCGTGAAAACACGATCGTGTAGATCAAGCACCTTTAAATTTTAACATGTGTAGCAACACCTACAGCGTGTTCCATTTAGCGAAACATTTACGTTGTGCCAATACGAACCATCCGATCCACTTGTTGGAATATTATGTTCCACCGAAACAAACCGGTTCGTCTAGGACTTCTTATTTAAGTGTATCAAGTTGGATCTAATTTGGCAGCCAATGAAAGGTTTTCTTATCAGATGTGCACAAGTTTTATACTAATTGATGTATAATACGATGAACTGTATCTGTTTAATATATTATAAGTAACGCCATTATGTGTTACATGTATACTTGTAAATAATGGCAAACATTTGCGTTGTTTCATTTTTTCCCATTACGAAGCCTAATTGTGGGGAAATCCTTTCCATTTTATTTTAGATTCCGAGGTTTGAACATGCGGGAACTTTATTTGTAACGCGTAGTCCCTTTAAACAGACCAGTTCCGGATTAGAACAACAGAACGTTCGGCTAAATATACTGCATTACTATAGCACAGAAAGATGTTAAATAACGTCTTCATTAAAATAACATGTGTAGTCGCATTTACGAAACCGTCAGAAGTAACCATTAGACCATTTTTCTTAATTCGCGGTTAAAACGAAAATAGCAGCGGTGATTTTTTGTATTTTATTTTTTCAACTTTTCTACTTCTTATTTTGAACATTGGAAAACTAATTTCCGTGAGCATTTCCACACCGCTGTCTTAACGTGAGCATTTCCACACCGCTGTCTTAACGTAAGCATTTCCACACCGCTGTCTTAACGT